GGGCTGGAGAGGAAGGGAGGAGGGTTGGGGCGGGGCTGTGAGTGGGACTCAGTCGGGGAGGGGCTGGAGAGGGAGGCTGGTTGGGGCGGGCCCGGACTCACGGTCGGCGTAGGCGGGGTTGTTGTAGAAGATGGAGCCGGCTGCGCGACTGTAGCCTCGCAGTACGATGAAGTGCCCCTGGTAGTCCGGGCTGCGGCAGAAGCAGCGGTGCCCGCGAGGGGTGAAGCAGCAGTACTTGACAGGGCTGGAGCACAGGTCACAGTGCAGCACGCCGGAGTTCACCAGCACGATGGCCACGTGGCCCTGCGCCAGGTGTGCCTGGATGTCCTGCACGCTCACGGTGCTGAGGGGAAGGGGGTCAGCTGACCGCCAGCGGCCCGCTCCCACTCCGCCCTGCGTCAGAGGTCAGAGTGCCCGTCCTCCCCTACCCTGAGCTCCTGCCAAGTCCTGCCTGGTCGGAGGGGCCCCTGCAGGGGCTCTGAGCCGGCCCAGGAAGGCGGCCCTGCGAGGCTGCCGGCGGCAGGAGGCAGCACCCACGTCCCAGGGGCCTAGTGAGGGCCCTAGAGCTGCACATGGGGCCCCCACCCCACCCAGGGATGAGCCTGCATGGTTCTTTTAAGTTACATTATGTGTAGTTTACACTGGAAACTGATAGTCTAATTTAGCTTCCCAGGTATGAGCCAAGCATGGGGTGACCAGTTCAAAGACGCTTCCATGAAGCCCCTCTTAGTCTAGACAGACACCAGGAGCGGCTCAAGGCAGACACATGGGCACTGTCCCGTGCTGAGGCCACAAAAGGCACCAGCCCAGCTGATCTGCAAGAAGAGGCGTCCCCAGCTGGGCACCACCGTCTCTGCTGCAGGAATAGAGACGTAAAAGAGCTCTGGTGGCGCAGTGGTTAAAGCATTTGGCTGGTAATCAAAAAATCAGCAGTTCAAAACTGCCAGCAGCTCTGCGGGAGAAAGATGAGGCAGTCTGCTTCTGTGAAGATTGACAGCCTTAGAAACCCTATAGTGCAGTTCCACTCTGTCCTCTAGGGGCGCTGTGAGTGGATCAACTCCATGGCAGTGGGTGTGGTTTGGGCTTTGCTTCCCTGAAGATTGACAGTCTTGGAGACCCTCTGAGGCAGTTCCACTCCATCCTCTAGGGGCGCTGTTAGCCGGAATGGACTCCACAGCAATGAATGTGGTTGCAGATGTTACCAGATTGAGATGGGGTTGTGCTATATTAGGGTGGGCCCTGATCCAAGGACTGGTGTCCTTGTGAGAACAAGGAAGTTTGGACACTTGGAGAGAAAGCCCCGTGACTACAGAGTCAAGGACTGTGATGAGTCTATAAGACAGGGATGCCGGGGACACTGGAATCTGGAGGCGGCAGCGAAGGACCCTCCCCCAGAGCCTTCAGAGGAAGCCCGGCCCGGCCACACCTGGATTTCAGACATCACGCTCCAGGACTGAGTGAGATTACGTTTGTTGCTTAAAGCCGCCTAGTATGCAGTGATCTGTGACAGTGGTGAAGCAAGAGACCTGTGTAGGAAAGTTCCATTCTGCCTGACTCCCAGGTCCGCTGTCCTTCTCAGAGGCCCCCTGCAGGCTGCCACACAGCGGGTGAGTGTGAACACACACACACACTTACTCACCATTTCTCCACCAGCACCTTGCAGGCCTTGGCCTGTGCGAACAGCTGGTTCACGCGGGTCTCCTCTGTATCAAAATGTCTCCTATAGAAGGCCTGAGAGGAGAGGGTCACGCGGGAGGTTGGAGCGGCTGCCCTCACGCTGTTCCGGAAACAGACTCAGAGCGAGCGGGCAAGAGGGGAGAAGCCGCCCTTGGGCATGGGGCGAGTGCAGCCCCCTGGACAGAGCGGTGCTAGCACCACTGGGAGGTGAGGACAGCACCAGGGCTTGAAGAGGGCGCTGCGAGGCAGGTGGGCGGGCAGGCACACAGCTGGGAGCGGCATGACCAACAGGCCAACTTTGTTTTGTGCAGGGCCCGGTGGGGGAGACAAGAAGACCCTGTTGTCTGGCCACAGGGGACAGGACAAATCTGAGAGCCTCATACACAGCCTCCCCTTGCCCTGTGAGCTCAAAGGAGCGTGAGGACCCTGTCCTGGGATGCACCCCTGTCCCGGGGTCAGACACACACAGGTGCCAGCAGAGCTGACCAGGTTGTCATGATTTTAAAAAAGAAAGGAAAGACTTCTAGCTTTCTCCCAAGATATCAATTATCCAGCCTGGAGCTGTTATCCCCTTGGGAAGAAAGAACGTGGGCCCATGAAGGCCAGATGAAGGTAGATGACGTGGTCTGTGGCCCTGGACCCTGCCTCCCACCGCAGGGTTGGAGGGAAGGCTGCAGGAAGATGTGACTTCCCAGAGCTGGGGGAGGCGGCCCAGGAGGGACCCTGTGCCTCAGTCCTCAGAGGCACCGGGCAGGTGGGATGGCTAATTGCGTCAGCTCGGCCTGGCCATGGTTCCCAGTGGTTGTGAAACACTAAAGGAGCTCTGGTGGCATAGTGCCTAAGGCATCTGACTGCTCACCAGAAGGCTGGCAGTTCAAACCCACCAGCCACTCCACAGAAGGAAGACTGGGCAATCTACTTCTGTACTGATACCGCCTCAGAAACCCAAAGGGGATTGCTATGACTCAGAATCAACCTGATGGCAGTGAGTTTGGTCTTTTTTTAGTTTAAAGTAGTTTCAAGGAGTGCTGGTGGCGCAGTGGTTAAAGTGTTCGGCTGCTAACCAAAGTGTTGGTGGTTCAAACACACCAGCTGCTGTGCAGGAAAAAGATGAGGCTTCCATACAAATTGACAGCCTTGGACACCCTGTGGGGCAGTTCCTCTTTGTCCTCTAGGGGCGCTGTGAGTCACAATGGACTCCACGGCAGTGGGTATGGTTTGGGCTTTGCTTCTGTGAAGATTGACAGCCTTGCAGACCCTGTGGGCAGTTCCACTCTGTCCTCTAGGGGCGCTGTGGGTCAGAATGTACTCCAGGCAGTGGGTGTGGTTTGGGCTTTGCTTCTGTGAAGACTGACAGCCTTGGAGACCCTGTGGGCAGTTCCACTCTGTCCTCTAGGG